CTTAATGTCATCACTCCATCTGTTCCGAGGTCTTCCACTCGCTCTATGCCCTTGTAACGTTTTAGTGTGGCTCGCTGTGGTAGCTAGTACCAGGGCATTCCTGTAGGTGTCAAAACCACTTTATTTGTTGTTCTTTGATGACCTGTAAGACTGGCTCTTTTCCTAGCATTAGTTTGTTTTCGTAATTTCGTCTTCTGTCTTCCCTTAAAACTCCTGCAGCTCTTCTAAGGCATTTCATCTCTGTTGTCACAATTTTACGTTTATTGGAGGATGTCCTGATATACGCAAGTGAATCTTGGATCTTAGTGAAAAATTATTTACAAGCAGTGTGGTTTATACACGAATGATAATACCATCAAAGTGAGTTGCGTATCCTTTACAGGATATTGCAAAACCAACCACAGTATTTTTGGGCTGTTGTGGGTTTTTTAGACAAATTTACGTCCAACAGTTTGTCATTGCTTTCTGGATGGTCAGCTTTTCGATACCACTGTCGAAACCAACGCAAGGCGCAAGACCCGCAGCTGGGATCGAACCCGGCACCCCGGCATTACGAAGCAAATTCGCAACGCCTAAGCCACAGATACTGACGACAATACCATAGACCATTGATTCCCAAATTGTGCGCCCCGGGTGTGTGTGTGTGTGTGTGTGTGCGCGCGTGTGTGTGTATATATATATCTTACATACGAATAATCATACTTTTACTTAGGTTAGGGCGCCGTGTTTGTGTATATATATCTTACATACGAATAATCATACTTTTACTTAGGTTAGGGCGCCGTGTGTGTATATATATATCTTACATACGAATAATCATACTTTTACTTAGGTTATGGCGCCGTGTGTGTGTATATATATCTTACATACGAATAATCATACTTTTACTTAGGTTAGGGCGCCGTGTGTGTGTATATATATCTTACATACGAATAATCATACTTTTACTTGGGTTAGGGCGCCGTGTGTGTGTATATATATCTTACATACGAATAATCATACTTTTACTTAGGTTAGGGCGCCGTGTGTGTATATATATATCTTACATACGAATAATCATACTTTTACTTAGGTTAGGGCGCCGTGTGTGTGTATATATATCTTACATACGAATAATCATACTTTTACTTGGGTTAGGGCGCCGTGGAAACATTGTAATTGAAAAACGGGCGCCGCTGTAAGAAAAGTTTGGGAAACCCTGCCATAGACATACAAACAGAGAAGTGAAAGTGTTTTCAAAGAATCTTGACTCACCAAGAGAACTGGTTGCCCATCTGAGAAGGAGACAGTCTACATTGTTTGTTCATGTAAGAGAGGGAGACAGTCTACATTGTTTGTTCATGTAAGAGAAGGAGACAGTCTACATTGTTTGTTCATGTAAAAGAGGGAGACAGTCTACATTGTTTGTTCATGTAAGAGAAGGATCAGTCTACATTGTTTGTTCATGTAAGAGAAGGGGACAGTCTACATTTTTTGTTCATGTAAAAGAAGGAGACAGTCTAAATTGTTTGTTCATGTAAGAGAAGGAGACAGTCTACATTTTTTGTTCATGTAAAAGAAGGAGACAGTCTACATTGTTTGATCATGTAAGAGAGGGAGAAGACTGGAGTACATCTTGCCGGTGGGGGAAACAGTTAGTTAAGTATCCTTTACAGGACGTTGCAGAACCAACCATTTATCGGCTGGTGTTTTTTTTTTCTAAGCATTTTAACTTTCAATAGCTTACTGCACAATTGACTCTCGATATCAAAGTCGAAACGAACGCAAGACGGTCTGCTGCCAAATCGCCTGTAGCTGTGCTCGAACCCGGCACCACGGCAGTTACGAAGCGTGACAGAGGGAGAGCTGAAGGGGAAAAGAGTAGGAGTCCGAGAGAGAAGATGCTGGAGGGATTTTGACATAATGATACGAAAGATCACCTGTGTCAGAACTGAAATTACACGATACAGAAGGTCGTTGATAGACATTACCAACGCTACACGACATGAACTATGGGAGATCAGCTGTGTCAAAATTGATTGTAATTATACGAGACAGAAGGTCGTGGATAGACATTACCAACGCCACACGACATGAACTATGGGAGATCAGCTGTGTCAAAATTAATTGTAATTACAAGAGACAGAAGGTCGTGGATAGACATGACTACCAACGCCACACGACATAAACTATGGAAGACCAGCTGTGTCAGAATTGATTGTAATTACACTAGACAAAAGCTCGAGGATAGACATGACTACCAACGCCACACGACATAAACTATGGAAGATCAGCTGTGTCAGAATTGATTGTAATTACACGAGACAGAAGCTCGAGAATAGACATGACTACCAACGCCACACGACATAAACTATGGAAGATCAGCTGTGTCAGAATTGATTGTAATTACACTAGACAAAAGCTCGAGGATAGACATGACTACCAACGCCACACGACATAAACTATGGAAGATCAGCTGTGTCAGAATTGATTGTAATTACACTAGACAAAAGCTCGAGGATAGACATGACTACCAACGCCACACGACATAAACTATGGAAGATCAGCTGTGTCAGAATTGATTGTAATTACACTAGACAAAAGCTCGAGGATAGACATGACTACCAACGCCACACGACATAAACTATGGAAGATCAGCTGTGTCAGAATTGATTGTAATTACACGAGACAGAAGCTCGAGAATAGACATGACTACCAACGCCACACGACATAAACTATGGAAGATCAGCCGTGTCAGAATTGATTGTAATTACACGAGACAGAAGCTCGAGAATAGACATGACTACCAACGCCACACGACATAAACTATGGAAGATCAGCTGTGTCAGAATTGATTGTAATTACACGAGACAGAAGCTCGAGAATAGACATGACTACCAACGCCACACGACATAAACTATGGAAGATCAGCTGTGTCAGAATTGATTGTAATTACACTAGACAAAAGCTCGAGGATAGACATGACTACCAACGCCACACGACATAAACTATGGAAGATCAGCTGTGTCAGAATTGATTGTAATTACACGAGACAGAAGCTCGAGAATAGACATGACTACCAACGCCACACGACATGTCGCCATGACCATTATCTCAAAACAGCGTGTCGTTAGATAACCAGCAGTTTGATTGCCTGATCAGTTCCCCCTGCCTTTGTCGGTCTCTGACCAGTCCAATCAGACCACCCTATTCTGTATTCACATGTCTTTTGGTCTGCCTCTTCTTCTCGAGGCAGCGCCCGTGGCCTAGGCGTTGCGAGTCTGACCCGTAATTCCAACGTACCGCGATCGAAACGCACTGTACGCTGCGTGGATTTTTTTATCATGGTATGGGGCGTCGCAGGTCGACCCCGCCTAAACTGGGTGCCAGGATGTATGTACTGGGGACAAAAAGGGTACAGGCTTAGCTTTAAAGTCATGCGATTTAAAAAAAAAAAAAACAAGAGGACATTGCTGCTGCAAGCTTTTATCAGTAAACGTAAACACGACGGACATAAAGTAGGTTGGTTGCAGTGCCCCATTTCGGCGGGAAAGGGGGTGGGGGCAGTGTTAAGAATAGATCTACTACCCCCTAAAATAACTAGCGTAACAGCAGGCTAATTAGGCGTTTTGTTAGAAGTCGGAGTGCATCTTTCTGAGAGGCAAGGAACCTACAGTTTGCATACAAAAAAGTCAGATTGAAAGAACATCAGTTTAAAGATGAATATTTTTAAATAGCCTATCTATTAATTTATATAATAATGATACATTCAATAACACATGTTAAAGATTAATTAAACTCTAGTTCAATTTTGTATGAATCTTCTCGATAACAATTGTTACCATCGACCGACTACGCTAGCCTCACAAAAACGGGAATTCTTATTTGAGCTGTACGGCCTTATATCTGGAGCTGGCCAGGGACATACCCTACTAGCTGTAACTTGTGAACTATAACTTGCTTAGCCATCCCCCTACAATGTTTCAGGAACGGTGGGTGGGCTGTACTGGACAATAAGCCCCAGATGACTATATTCCTGGACGAAATTAGTGATGAAGCTACAAAACGTTGACAATTTTGACGTCAATGGTCAATGAAAAGTGTTTATAATTTACAGAAACCTCTGAAGCCAATTTGGGTAATTAGGAATGTTGACGTCATGATCATTAGTCCGAACTGATCGTGTGGTTAAGGTTACTTGCAGCGGCTGTCGTCATCTAAAGGATAAGCCACTGATATTTTGGTCGTAAATTAAAAAAAAAATTAAAAAAAATTTTTTTTTTTCCTGCTGCTGCTTGTTCTTGTTCTCATTCTTGTTCTTGTTATTGTTCTTCTTCTTCTTCTTCTTCTTCTTCTTCTTCTTCTTCTTCTTCTTCTTCTTCTTCTTCTTCTTCTTCTTCTTCTTCTTCTTCTTCTTCTTCTTCTTCTTCTTCTTCTTCTTCTTCTTCTTCTTCTTCTCCTCCTCCTCCTCCTCCTACTCCTCCTCCTCCTCCTCCTCCTCCTCCTCCTTCTTCTTCTTCTTCTTCCTTCTTCTTCTTCTTCTTCTTCTTCTTCTTCTTTCTTCTTCTTCTTCTTCTTCTTCTTCTCTTGCTTCTTCTTCTTCTTCTTCTTCTTTTTCTTCTTCTTCTTCTTCTTCTTCTTCTTCTTCTTCTTCTTCTTCTTCTTCTTCTTATTATTATTATTATTATTTTATTATTCTCCTTCTTCTCATTCTTCTTCTTTCTCTGTAACACGTGTCTTAGTCAACGAGGTACCAGAGTTCATTGTCTGCGGAGGGCGGTTAAAGAATGCAGAAAAATGTTTTCGGACGGTGTCACAAAAATCACACCGTGGAAGAGTGGGCCCTCACCATGTAATATTTTCAACAGCAGCAATAAATTTACACCCACTGCAGCCATCCTCCATTGGGAGACGCCATTTACTTTTTAAAAGTTCAACGCTCATTCAACCAGACAAACAAACACGAACTAAATAAAAATCTTATTTAAAAAATCATTTTACTATATTCATTTTTTCCACAGGTTATTCACCCCAAGTCAGACGACCAAAGAAAACGTTTAAACGATGCAATCAAGAACATCCTACTGTTTCGGTCCTTGGACGACGAGCAGATGCAGGAAGTTTTAGATGCAATGTTCGAGAAGGAG